CCAGCCTGCAGGCAGTGGGGGTGCTCTTGGTGAAGTCCTGTATCTCCACCCACCCAGGCAGTGTGCCACGTACTGCTGGGCAGGGATGGGCGGGCACAGGGAGTCGCACTGCAGGACGGGACGGAGGTGAGGAGCAAACTGGTGCTGTCCAACGCCTCCCCCCAAATAACCTTCCTGGAGCTCATCCCCCAGGTATGGGGCACATGGGGCTGGTGGGAGCTTGGTGTGGCAGCATCCCCCCGGCCACACTGCCCCTCTCACAGCCAGCTGGCATCTCCCACCCCAGGAACACCTACCAGAGGATTTTGTCCAGCAAATCCAGCAAGCTGACACACGCTCCCCTGTCACCAAGATCAACGGTAGGTACTGGCAGTACCACCTCCTCCACCATCCCCACTGGAGGGACACTGGCACCAGGCAAGAGGCTGCACCCCACTTCCCTGCCCCCCTCTCCTGTGCCCAGTGGCGGTGGACCGGCTGCCCAGCTTCCTGGCTGCCCCCAATGTCCGTGACGGCCAGCCCCTGCCACACCACCAGTGCTCCATCCATCTCAACTGTGAGGGCACCCACCTCCTGCATCAGGCCTTCACTGAGGCCACCCACGGGCACCCTTCCAGCAGGTAGGAGCCCCCACTAGCACACCCCAGTACCCCAGGGAAGGGGCAGGATGGCCATGGTGGATGGGTCGGGGAAAAGAGGTTTGGGGTGGCTGGGGCCACTTCTGCCTGCCTAGCTGGTGTCCTGCTCTCCCAGGCCCATGATCGAGCTCTGCATCCCTTCGGTGCTGGACCCAGGGCTGGCCCCACAGGGCTGCCACGTCGTGTCCCTCTTCACCCAGTACACCCCCTCTGTGCTGGCAGGCGGGCAGCCCTGGGACGAGCAGGCCAGGAATGCATACGCAGACACGGGTACATAATACACACGTGGACCTGGGTGACGCCAGGAGTGCTGGTCCCTACCCATGGGCAGAGCTGCTCTGAGCAGTTCTGGCCACCATGTTTCCCCAGGCTGCCTGCCAGCCTCTCCATCCTTCTCTAGTATTTGACTGCATCGAAGCCTATGCCCCGGGGTTCAAGGCATCCGTCATCAGCAGGGATATCCTGACACCACCAGATCTGGAGAGGATCTTTGGGCTGCCTGGTGGGGTAAGCACCTTGTAGGCTTAGCTCTGAACATCACCAATGCCAACACTGGTGGGCACACAGCCCTAGACCAAACACAGCCAGGTCACACAGAGGTCTCCCTGCAGAACATCTTCCATGGAGGGATGTCTCTGGATCAGCTGTATTTTGTCCGGCCAGCACCATCCTATTCAGGCTACCGGACCCCCGTTCCCGGCCTGTACCTCTGTGGAAGCGGAGCCCACCCTGGTAAGC